TCCTCGATGGGTAAATATTCGCCATGATGATCTATGTAGAGAGTTGCATGGCTTCTGCGATGCATCTAATATAGCATATGCTGCTGTAGTGTTTCTACGTGTGGTTGATCGCGAGGGCAGTGTTCATGTTCATCTTATAACTTCGAAGACAAAGGTGGCCCCGATAAAACAAGTAACCATCCCACGTCTAGAACTGTGTGGAGCAGTTCTTTTATCTAAGTTATTACTGGAGGTATCCGAAGTGCTCTCGATACCAAAGTCTCACGTTCATGCTTGGACTGATTCCTCCATTGTGTTGGCCTGGTTAAGTAGTCACCCAAGTAGGTGGAAGACCTTTATAGGAAATAGAGTGTCAGAAATACTAACAAATTTCGATAGAAGTCAATGGTCACATGTTCGTTCTCAGGAAAACCCTGCTGACTGCGCATCAAGAGGTATTACTACTTTGGATGACTCTAATGAACGCTTGTGGAAAGAGGGTCCATGCTGGTTAAAGAAATCCTTTATAAAATACAGTCCACTAGAAAATCAAGACACTAATCTTGAAGAACGATCTACGATTGTTTATTGTGCAATATCTGAAAACAATGAGGAAATTTGGACGAGATTTTCTAAATTGCGCAGATTATTAAGAGTAATGACACTTTGTTTTAGGTTTTTCAAACTAACACATTATTCAGGGTCAAAACCATCCTTTCCGCTATGGCTTACAACAAATGAATTACGTGAAACATTAAATATCTGCATAAAATATTATCAGGGTCAGTTTTTTAAGGAAGAAGTAGAATGTATTCTAAAAAATAAGTCTATACCTAAGTCTAATTCCACTTCGACATTAAATCTTTATTTAGATCAAGTAGGCATAATACGGATTGGTGGAAGGCTACAAAATGCTCAAGTTAGTGAGAATTTTAAGCATCCAGTTTTAATACCTCGAAAATCTCATTTAACAACTTTGATTATAGCAGACGCCCATGAACGGACTATACATGGTGGAGTCCAGCTTACGATTAATTATTTAAGGTCACATTATTGGATAATTGATATGAAAGGGCAAGTAAAGAGTTATATACGGAAATGCACACGATGTATTCGATTCTCTTCACGTCCAAGTCATCAATTGATGGGTCAACTTCCAGAAGCGAGAGTTACTCCAGCAAGGCCGTTTTATCGCAGCGGAGTCGACTACGCGGGTCCAATTGTCGTTAGATCATCAAAGGGCAGAGGTATTCATACTACAAAGGGATATATTTGTCTTTTTGTATGTATGGCTACAAGGGCCGTACATTTAGAAATGGTCAGTGACATGACTTCCGAGGCTTTCATTGCTGCATTTAAACGCTTCACTGCTCGTCGTGGGTACTGTGCTGAGCTGTGGAGTGACAACGGCACTATATTCATAGGTGCCGCTCGTGAATTAAAGAACTTGTTTCAAAGTGAAAGATCAAAGTTAGTAGTCGAAATTGCAGACTGGCTTTCAACCAATAACACTAAGTGGAATTTTATTCCACCTCATTCACCCAATTTCGGAGGCCTATGGGAGGCTGGAATTAAATCTACGAAGTATCATGTAAGACGAGTCATAGGAGAATCAAAACTTACTTTCGAAGAAATGACGACGCTGTTGTCTCAAATTGAAGCTTGTCTTAATTCAAGGCCAATAGCACAGATGTCTGATGTTGGTCCCTCGGATCCATATCCGTTAACACCTGGTCACTTTTTGATTGGAGAACCATTGGTATTGGTGCCTGACCATAATTATGAAAATTCAAATGTTACCAATTTGCGTAGATGGAAATTAACTCAAAGAATGGTTCAAGAGTTTTGGCGACGGTGGTCGAAAGAATACTTGACCCAATTTTTCCATCGGTACAAATGGCGTAACATTTTGTCGGAACCTAAAGTTGGCGACGTCGTTCTGATCATGGAGGACGATTTACCTCCAAGTCGATGGTTGTATGGAGTGATTGTTGAAAAGCATTCAGGATCTGATGATTTAACGAGAGTAGTAAGCATAAAATGCAAGGGGTCCAGTGTAATCAAACGCCCTTTGTCTAAAGTGAGGGTGCTTCCCAAAGCAGAGTAAAAATTCAAATCTAAGATGAGATGGTGGTTGTGTTAAATGTTAGTTTGCTGAATTAAAATATGTACTATTATTAGATTTAAAAAAAAAAAAAACACTGTAAATGTAAAACTTACCTTACATAAAGTTTTTGTTTGTACGCCCTTTGTATTTGCTCGTGGTGTGGTTTTATTTTTATTTTGTATGGACCATGCGGGTCCATGGGAGGCGGTATGTTAACGCATTAGCGTAGTTATTGAAGTAAATTAGTTTTATATATACATGATTATCAGTAAACTGTAGGTGTGGTTTATTCATACTTAAAACTAGATGTCGCCATTTGTTTAACATATTGTTTGATCTGTTCTGAATCGCGGTATTAAGATTTCTGCTAGTATGTATAAGTCATAGATCATAAGGTTTCTTTTTGAACATAAAATTGAATCTATTCACTTGAACGGTGGTTTCATTGATATCATCTTGCCCCATTCAAGTAAAGTTTTTTGGGATTGAACAGCTATGATATGATGACAAACAATTTTACTAGAAATAATACCACACAATGGCTTGACACATTTCAGTATAAATTAGCACCTCCATTTGTTTCTACAAGCAATGAAGTTCCTTTCTCTATGATACCTTCACTTCCTTTAGACGGCCTTAAGGACTCATCGTCGGGTATTGCAATATCTCAACTAGGAACCTGTTCTCAAATATCCGAAATAATATTTTTTGACAAGCATCCCCCCGGACGAATGGAAAAGACAAGTTATTATCCCCATATTAAAACCTGTGAAACTGACCCAAATGGATATAGATCAATTGATTTATCATGTACTATGGCCAAAATTCTTGAACATTTAATTAAAAATAGAATCGAGTGAGCATTAGCAAGTAGAACTCTCCTATCTAAAAGTTAGTTTGTTTTTTTGGAACAGCTTTAGTATATTCGTTACAGATATATGGGTTGGACTATCAAGACGGAAGAACATTAAAGGTTAAAACAAAAATAATATATCACAACCTCACAATCGTTATATATAAAACATGTTCATCTGTATATACATTTATAATTTCTATACATTAAAATTATTCATGCACGACGTTAGCTAGACGTCTAGGTAACTTGAGACTCCCAAATCTAAGCTTACCTAACCAGTTTCCGGATAGGAAGTTTATGTGTATAAAATAATAAATAAATAAAAAACTAATAGTAAGGTCTTTATCCTTTACAATGGTTATCTTCTAATTAAAATATCTCAAAAATATTTTAATATTTCAGCTTACAACTCGTTACTACATCTAATGATTTGTTAAAATGAAAAAAAAGGTAAATATTGACATCAACATATAATTAGATATTAATTGACGGGAAATTTTCATATGTCACATGGCATTTGCTTTTCTTTTACCAGAAGTTATCAAACAGGTCTTCAACATGCTGAGTGTGTTAGGAACACATATTTGCAATACTGTTTTGCATTACAACAAAACAGTTAATGTGTTTAAGAAAACACAGGAGAAAAATATTGAAAATTGCTTTACATTTCGAGCAGAAGGCCTGGCATACCCACTAAAAACCCTCAGTCGGGAATGGCACCAGAGAACCCGAATATATTCACCGGGACACTATATATCTATTTCTAAAGTCCCGGGTTCGATTCCCTTTCAGTATAAAAAATAAACTTTTCTATATTGTCTCAGGTCTGTGTGTTTCGGGACCTTCCTTGTATAAGTTTTAAATAATCCAAATATCTAAGTACTTAATTAAGGATCTGTGCAACATGTATACCTATGTTATCTTTTAATATTTATTAAATTATTGGGTAGCCTGCGAACCATTCTTGCTGCAGGTACTGAAATAAAATCTACATTAGAATTTTGAAAACCCTGATTTATTCAAAATTAAAACGCTTCCTGTTATTTACATACTAGTTTTCGCCAGCGGCTTCGCCCGCGTGGACCCTAGGGATATGTTTAGTGGGATAAAAAGTATCCTTTTATCTAAGTCAGCTAATACCCTATCTGTATACCAAATTTCATCAAAATCCGTTCAGTAGTTTCGGCGTGATTAACCGATAAACATCCAAACAAAGAAACTTTCACATTTATAATATTAATAGGATTTTGTCAAACCTTTCGACTAAAACATACTAATCTAATTAATTGGTAATCATCTTCTGCTCGTACACAACTTGAAATTCCCAACATGCACGCGTAATCATTTCCCTTATATCAGAAGTACCTACTCAATTGATCATCTTGAAAATTGTTTAAATAATTTTTAAAACTATTATATTTGATCAATTTTGCATTCAGAAAGCTATACTGGAAAATATTTTTAATAAAAATAGCTTAAAGAATCCACCAGCCCTAGAGTATATGGAGCTGGTGGATGGTTAAGCATTTTTCATTAAGAATATTTATGAAATGAGCCGACATTTAACTGCCTTGTTTTTTAAAAACAAACCGCAACACATAACACAACTGTTTTGTTGTCCTCTGTGAATTGACCAGTGGGATGTCCCACTATCTAGGATATCTTATGTTCACCTTCCTTCACTTCCACCATTCATTTTTCAGGAGAAAAATTAAGATAATGGTGAAACAGTAGACTAAAGGCTCACTAGACAACCAAACGAGGAGCCCGATGGCGCAGTGCTTAGCGTGTTCGGTCTGCGATAGAGAAGCTAAGCAACTTACGTATGGACCGGTCATAGGATGGGAGTGCAAAATGTGTTATGTTGAGCTCAAATAATCTAGAGCGAAAATAGTTTTTTTTACGTCGCTGATGTGTTTTATACTGCTTATATTTTATAATCACTTGCAAAATAAGAAAGCTTTTTTAGTTTACAGACCTTATGTTTACTATTTCCTTAATTATTGTAATTAAGGACTTCCTCCCATTGCAAACCGTATTAAATTTTATTTTTAATTTGTGTTGGGTTTTCCTTATATCGCAGGCATCTGTTACGATCTAACAGCATAAAATTATGGAACCAAATATAAATGTAATAGTTAACGAGTGAAAATGTTCATTTTGTTACTATTTTTTTTCGGGGAGTAACAATTCAAGTACAATCAACAGGACGTCCGGCTATACAAAACTGAAAAATTTCCCCACTCGATTTTAATTAAACTCTAATACATCGAGTTAGATGTGAGCAGTAACATATCGTGGTAACCTAATGTGCGGCCGTGCGTACAAACAACACGTCAGGTCACTACAAAATATCCGTATTATAATTGTCAATATGTTATGGTTTTACTGTCACTTCTAAAATCAGAGTTTTGTCAGTTTTGAATAAACAAGGTCGCAGCTTGACTATCTAGCAATATGATATGACATTATGTCGCGATGTTATATTATATCGATGCTTCGTTTCATTTTACTGCTTTGAGGTAAACTTTAATACCAAACAAACGTAACTTTTTTTTTACTGTGTGTTACTGTAGGCCTCGGATGGCCTTTACAGGGTAACCGGACTCAAGCCGAGATGACGATCGTCCTCGAGGCTATCTACTAGGAGGGCAACACCCTACGGGGAGGTATCTCCACTCCGTCGTAGAGTCGCCCTGGACTCTCGAGTCGGACGCTGGGGGATCGAACGAAACATAAAGAATGATGACAATACTTATATAGACAACAGTGTTACCAACTTACTCGTTAATTCAACAAGACATGTCAAAGTTAACATAGCTAACATGTCGTTTCCTATGGTAAGAATCAAGGCTAGAGAGTTAGGTGGTCACAACGCTGATGTGCTATTGACTGTACATTATTATAGGTATTTGATAAAGCTGCGCAATCGCAGATCAAATATAAGAGATATACCTTCGTAATAGTACCTTCGCATTTGAGCTCGTGCTTGAAGAAGCCGTAAAGCAGAGCGCCGCAGTGATCGCAAAACGTGGGCGACATGAACTGGTGCGGCCGGAACCTGTGAGGTACGTCCACCTTGAACCGCTCGCGAAGATACTGCCAGAGACAATTAGTAAACCATTGAGCAAAACTTGGTTAGAGTAGTTATGCAGTCGGAATTAACTCCTCATCATTAGCCCTTTTAAGGCCCCATTGCTGGGCTTCCGGGCAGAGTAGTAATGCAATCGGAATTAAGTCATCATCATTAGCCCTTTTACGTCCCCATTGCAGGGGCACAGGCCTTCCTTCATGAATGATTATGGAGGATGAGCCATAATCCTCCACGCTGGCCCAATGCGTATAGGAAGGTTAAACAGCTGCAAATACAGCCAGAACCAACGTGCTTATCACGGAGTAGCTCGTGATAATAATTTTTGATCACCCATCCCGTGATCGACCCTTGCGAAAGTTGCTTAACAACAACAATCGTGGGTAGCAGCGCCTATTTGCACGAAATTGAATGAATCTATACAATTTACGGCAGAAAAAATAAAAGGCTGACTTATTTTATAATCTATCGCAATTCCTTTTAATTGTAAAGCGATGGTCAGTATTTATGGAATTATATAACGTTTAAAGTCACAATAGCTTTTGGAACAAATGACGATTGGAATGGTCAAGAAACGTTTAAAAAAATTGCCTAAATATTGCAGATAGCATTTCGTTTGACATTACTCAAAGCTTTCAAAGATATTTGCGTCTAATGCTAGCTAGACAATTCCAATTAACGTTAAATTAAGGATATCGTTCATTAAATATATTTCAAAAAACGTCGTGTTCGCGATCTTTATATTAATTAGTTGTAGCGTGAAGTTTGTGGCATACATTTAAAAAGTCGAATTGAAAATGATTGCGGTATTTAAAAAAAATTACTCACCACCGTGGAGTCTGAATATGCGGGAGATCCTGGACACTTCCCGAGCAGTTTGTCATGGCACCGCTTGTGTACTGCTGTCTGACACACGACGCACCGGTAGCCCTGCTTGCCGAAGCCCCACAGGAACTCTTTGCAGAACGCACAAAAGGTTGGCTGACGGAAAAACTTCGCTACGAACCGATGCCCATTCACTTCATGTATCCTGAAATGTAATGAGAAAATATAATGTTAATTATAAACTGAAAACGCTTGTTTTGGAATTTGTCTATAACACATATCTATAGTCGGGAGAATTACTTGAGAATATGACGTCATAATTTAAATATCTGCTTAAGAAGATATTTTTTACAAATAAGCAAGCATTTGAATGAAGTAAGAACTATAAGAAGTTAATAGTAAGAATATTATTATAACTTAACTAGCTATTAACAGTTCTTAATTCATTAATATTCTCGTCTACTGGTTAAAAATATTGGCTTAAATAATTGCTTTTACTGAAATTTACTCGACTTTAGATAAGGGTATTAGTTAAGGAGAGGATAATTAAAGAGACTGTAAACGATCTTGCTCAAAATGTAATATAGGTTTTACTTTATTGAACCTTTATACTGGGTTGGAGGCTGATTTATTTGCAGAATACAATTATCTTATTAGTTAAAATCGGTAAATGCCTGCCCACAAAAAAGCCCTTGCTATTGGAAATAAAATATAAAACTTGATCATTTCCATTGTCACATCGTTTCTAATATAGATAAACAATATCTAATTTCTTTTTTATTGCGATGTTTTACTCATAGTAAACGTTCTAGTGTGATTTGTAAGAGACATTGTTTAGAGACAGACAAATGGGACTCTTCTATCTTCGGATACATGATAATTCCCATATGCAGTAGCTATAGATAAATATATTTTTCCTAGTGATTTTACAAATGATATTTTGATCTGAAGATTCAAGTGATATATGTATGAATTAATTAACCCTGTAGGTGGTTCCGTGAGTGACGGATTGCCGTTTGTATGAGTTAGACTAGAGCCAAGAATTCAAGTTGCGATGGTACGCAAACACAAGTATATATCTCGGCGTGAGGATCTCTAGGTTAATTGTCTAATTACAAAATATATTCCTATCTCTTTCAAAGGTAAAGCCGTTTTGATAGCGATTTATGGAGTCGTGTAACTTTTAGGTCCCAATCACTTTTTGAAAAAAAAACATGATTTTAATGATCAAGAAACATAATAAAACTTAAATAAACCCGTAAAGATTGCAGTTAGCATTCTTTCGTTTGAAATTTCTCAATTGCTTTTAAGCATTTTTCGCTTTGCCATACGTAAAATTAATGATATCATTCAAAAAACGAAGCTATCCTAATCAATATCACATGGCCAGTAGTTATAGCGTGAAGTTTCTTGTCAATGTAAAGGGTTTCCGATGAATTTTGAAATTAGATAATTAGGACCATGCTACGTAAAAATTAAAGGGCATAGGGCACAGCAAAAGAAAATATTATCAAAATGTAGTTATATAAAATGCGTTTTCTATCTAAATGTTCCATAGTATTTTATAGAGAAAGTGATACTGTTTTTATACGCTGATTGTATTTAATGTTCGTCGAACTACAAAAACAAAAATTATCCGACCAAAATAAGTCAACACGTCACAATTTAACGTTATCTCTTCTGTCGTTGTCAGTTTGCTTTAAGCGGCCAATGGTTTATACCAGGTACTTACTATCTTTAGTATTCGTTTTATAATAAGACATCGGACAATATTTGCATTTTGCATTTGTATTTGTCTGATAATTATGTAAAATACTAAGTCCATACTTAAAGAGCGTATGATTTGCCGATAAACTGTTGTACAGTTTGGCTACAATGTTGTGAGAATTAATAAATAAATAAAATATAAATACCCACAGACGATTCCAGAGCTTAAAACATAAATTCGACTAATTTACAATTATGTGAAAATGTGATCTAAAATTTCGAGAAATGGGCGAATGTTTGCCAACAAAACAAAGGTGCCATATTGCTCCATATTCTTCATTGAATCGTAAATATCCTCAAAATAAAACAGCAAAGATGTAGTTCGCTAAGAATCAATATAAATATTGACTACTTATATTGGTTTTGATTATTATATTCGATCAATTCTATAAAAAAAATTATCAGTATAAAAAAATTATTAGTGATTTTTACGCATTTGAATTGTTCACTTTTTTCGGTGATTACGACTTTAGATTTCAGTTGAGTTAACGAATACGCTTACAGGTCCCCCAGATGGATTTTAGCGCTATAATAATTTCTTTTTTATGGGATAGGCGGCAGACGAGCAGACGGATCACCTGATGGTAAGTGATTACCGTCGCCCATGGACACCTGCAACACCAGAGGGGCTACAAGCGCGCTGCCGACCTTAGAGGGAAGGGTTGAGGGGTAGAGAGAAGGGAGTAAGGAGGGGTTGGGCCTCCGGTACCCTCACTCACACGACGAAACACAAATCAAGCGTTGCTTCACGTCGGTTTTCTGTGAGGCCGTGGTATCACTCCGGTCGAGCCGGCCCATTCATGCTGAAGCGTGGCTCTCCCACGGTTCATTTGGTTTAAGCCATAACGTTTACTAAAATAAGCAACCGCAATGAAATAAGCAAACATAATGAAGTAATAAAGACAGTGACTTTTGTAGTTAACCCATTTTTGTTGTTGTTGTAAGTAGATATTGGTTTGCAAACTATTTAATTATTTTATCTGCAATAATTCATTACATCACATTTTGTCCTTTCTTTTTCATGTGTTGTGCTTCTGTCTTTTGTTATACAAACTTGTAGACGACATTGTGTTTTAACTTCGAGATGTTAAAGACTAAAGAATATTGAAAAATATTCAGTCTTTCACGTTAAATAAGGTAAAATTTTATGGACAAACCAAACTATATACTAACTTGTGATGTTTGATGGCCCCCCGCCGCTGGGTGATGCGTTTGGCTCTCGAGAGGCGCAGCTCGCCCTGTACGCTCTCGCCGCAGCCTCCGCCCGGGAACCACTGTAATGACAACACAAGAGTCGAGTAAAAGTTTCGGTCCATGACTTCGTCTAAGTTGCCCTCGATACAACAATCAGACTTTGATTATAGACTTGTCAAAGCGGTCAGATTTAGCTTTTGGTGGGACCAGCCAACTCCAACCTGTTAAGACCATACGAATAATGTGGTCTCCGAGCTGGGTGTTAACCCGGAGAAAGATTGAAACTCCAATAGAACATTTTTATATGTATAAATGAAACAACTTTAAAACGGTTTCATCACGTTTGTATTTAGTTTTATTGGCCATTCAGACCCTTTACAGGTTACGTGTTCACATAAGACCAAGCTGTTGATTGTCTTTTTAATCTATTGGACACATTCTTAATACATTTTTTTATATTTTATGGAAACGTTTATAATAATAATAATAATTAAGCTTTATTTGATTCCATACAAATAAATAGCATAAATAGCAATAGCATGCAGTAAAACATTTTTTCTAAATAAATTTAAATTTAAATAGATAAAATTAAATAAACTAAATCAAATTAAAAAAATAAATTATATAAATTCTTTCTACATTTGTATGGACCCCCTTAGGGTAAAAGCCTCCTCCAAAACTTTCCATTCTTCTCTATCTTTGGCTATTTCAAGCCACCCACGACCCGCCGTAGCCACAATCTCGTCAGCCCATCTGGCATTAGGTCTACCTCTTGCTCTAGTACCTCGTGGTCCCGTCCATTTTATAACTTTTAGTGTCCACCAATTATCAGCGTATCTCGCCACGTGACCTGCCCAGTTCCACTTTCTTTGGAGAGAATAGGTAAGTGCATCTGTTATACGCGTTTTTTTGCAGATGGCTGTATTTCGCACTATATCTTTTAATTTGATACTCAAGTAGCTTCTCTCCATTCTTCTCTGAGTGGTCTGAATTTTTTTTCTAGTGTTGAGGTCGAACGTCCAGGTTTGGCATCCATAGGTATGGTAAGATCTCAGAGTCCATAACTATCTTCTAAATAGGCAGTGGAATATGTGATTTGAATATGCTCTTATGAACTCAGTATTTTTTCCAGGCGATCGCTACTCTACGGTCTTCTTTTTTGGTTCTTTCTTTGCTGAAGGATATCTGTGTTTACCGAGGTAGATGTATTTTTCTACGTACTCAATAGGGAAGTTATTTACCATCATGGGTGTCATACGGTGGTTTGTCATAACTTCCGTTTTGTCTAGGTTAATTTCAAATCCAATCCTGGTACTCACCCGCTGGAGATCTACCATCATATTGTTTAGTTGGTGTGAAGATGCCGAGAATAGAATGATGTCGTCGGCAAATCTAAGGTGACTCAAGAAGTGTCTACTATGATGCCCTGCGTAGACCATGGTAAGTCCCTCATTATGTACTGTAGGACAGCTATAAAGATTTTTGGAGAGATTGGGTCGCCTTGTCTAACGCCTCTATTTATGTTAATTTTTCTTCCTACTCTATCCAGCTTGATTCTACTCGTGCTATTGGAATAAATATTTTTCAGTATATTTATATATTTCTCGTTTATGTTCTGTGACCTCAGCGCTTCCCAGATGCTGTTGTGTGATATACAGTCGAATGCCTTTTTGTAGTCTATAAAGGCTACGTACAAGGGTCTACGAAATTCTTGATACTTCTCTATCATCTGATCATAGTAATATTTTATATAGTAATGTTATGTCAGATTCAGTCCATATTTGTGGCACATTTTCTTCGTGTAATATTTTATTCCATAGCAGAGTGATTGGAGTCAATAGTAGAGTCTTTCCAAACTTGATGCATTCGTTTGTAATCCCGTCCGGTCCTGGACTTTTTTCTGACTTAAGCTCCTTTATTTGTTCCAGGATTTCAGGCTCTGTGAACTCTGGCGTTGGGAGAGCTTCGTTGCGTTGAATAGTTATTATTTGTTTTTGTGAGTCTGGTTTGCTATATAAATTTGCATAAAACTCTGTAGATGTGTAAATGACTTCCTCGCGAGACATAACTGTTGAAGAGCCGGACTGTAGTGATAGAATCCATGTCTTATATGTGTTTAATTCCTTATAGGCTTTTTAGCAGATCTAGAGTTTTCAAGATGTCTTTGTATTGTATTTATTCTATAGGTATCGTAGCATCTTTTAATTTTTCTGTTGGTAGTTGTATAGAGTGCTTTCAATGTTTCTTTCTCGGTTTTGGTTAGTTTAGATTTGTTTTGTAGTTTACTCATTTCTTTCATGAGTTTTACCGCTTCTTTAGATAAAATACTACACTTTTGAGTTCTTTTAATGGGTTTCAAACCCTTCAATATAGAATCCCCAATCATTTGGCGTAGCTTTCTGCATTATAGTTTTTATGTGTTGTTATAAGTTCAGGTATACAGCTACTTAGATTTTTGCGGTAAACTTCTTGCTCTATCGTCGTTTTCAATTTACTTGTTGTACTTGAAAAACCACGTCTGCATTTTTTTTCAGGTTTTAAGTTGATAGAGGCTCTTAATAACCTATGGTCAGAACCGAATGGGAATGATGTCAGTACTTTGTAGTTTGTAAATAGGTTGGGTTCTGTGGTCATAATGTAATCGATTTAATTTTTTGTATTTTTGTCAGGAGAGATCCATGTCCATCTGTTTTATGGTTTCAACTTAAACATACTATTTATTACTTTCAGGTTATACTCCTGCGCATATTGAATGAGCCTTTCTTGGAAACGTTTACATTTATTAAATTAAATTATTTTAAAAATACATTTGACTTATTTATCCCTACCGTAATCTACTACCAGTTCCAAATTTTGACAACAAAAGTGAACAGAACTAACTGTATCTTATGGTTTTACAATGTGTGATCTTGATTGAGATTTTATTTGACCAATTACTGGATCCCAAGTCGGTGGCATATTCCAACCTCCATCTCTATTGCCTTGCGTATTATTCTAGGAATGAATCTTTATGCCGTCGCAAGAAATTTTGGATTGTCAAATCTTATGTAATGCTTGGGTCCTCCTAACGCATGATTACACACTGCAGATTTATTTTCGCGCCTATGCTAAACGTCAGCTACATGTTCCCGGACGCCAATAGTATACTCATTTTCGTTTGCCCGATGTATGAGATCTTCGCATTCTAGTTTGTATACACCTTGAAATATTACATTTGACACGTCTTAAGAATTTGTTGCTCTTCTTCGGCGGCATGTATTGTTGAAAGTATTGTTAAAAGCTCGCTTCAAAATCCTTCCAATCTTGTTTGTGATACCTTTCATGTATATTTTATCATTGAGTACAGCAGGTTGACGCTTGACTGTGGTAGGTGTGACCCGTTTTTTGTGACTGAGGCGTAGTACGTGCAGTTCTTTTTTAATTAATGGCTTATCTGCGCATTTCGCACAATTCTGCCAATGTCAAGTTAATAAATTAATTTTTACATGTAAAATGAAAATGAAATGAATGAAAGATGGCGATTGGTTGCAAAAATAAATGATCTTTTCTACGTGCAGTTTTTTTCTTCTTCTTCTTTTATTAATGGCTTATCTGCGCATTTCGCACAATTCTGCCAATGTCAAGTAAATAAATTAATTTCTACATGGAAAATGAAATGAATGAAAAATAGCGATGGATCTGTAATGGTCTCCAAAACAAAATTCCCACTTTTTGTATCCCGCAGTACTTGCTTGACATGTTCAGCTCAACTGTGATTGTCACAGATAGAGGTTCAAATAAATAAAACCTATTTCAAAAAACAATAAAGAGTTTATATTATAAAACCGCTATGATTTAATAGTGCTATGCTGTGTTGAGTTCGAGGTTTTATTACAGAATATCAAAACAGGACGTCGAGAGTTTCGTGGACTAACACGCAAGCTAGGATAGTTTAGACTCTTTAAGAACTTTTTCGTCGCCACTTTCTGCTTCTAGATTTGTCCAATTTTACCTAAAATACAGTGCGATAGATTTAATTATTAAATTTTCTTCTATTACTTCTAATATATTCCAATCAAACCAAATAATATCTCCACGATTAATTGTTAACAATCCTAATACCTCGCTTTCATACAAACCTCAGGCAGTATAGGCGAAAACGTATCATCTACAAACATAATAGGAGTCATTTACGTCTATGATAGAAGTGATAATTTGAGTGATTGCCAACGAACATCACAAAGCAAAGACTGAAAGGCGACAGCTAAAACCATAATTAATAATAATTGATCTATGAAATAATGACTGTAAAAATGATACGAACATTCACATAACTCAAAACTACATAAATAATAAAGCTTTATGAATATATGCCCTAGTGACTGAATGGTTCAAACAATATTACTAGATGTGCGCAAACTAATTCTTAGAATTGTACCACCTCCCAAATTATTTTTATTATGTACTGAAACACATTCAAATCGTTTGAAGTTGATGCCGGTTCGTAATGCTTTGAAGCCGAGTAAGGCCGTGTAGTGACAAATTGGACATACCCGAAACCAAGACGACATCGCGCGTCGGCAATGCGTCTGCACATCGCCAACTGACACGTCACGCTTCAATGGTCGATGGACAAAATACGGATGACCGATTATAATCGCTTAGATTAGCGCACTAACATAACTCCGTACTATCGAAAGGACGCAACTAGATGCACCGGCATTAGTAAGAAAGCGTCTTTGTTCAAGGTCTCTTTTACAAATTCCCTGGCATAGATCCGGATGATTACGGCTTTGAATTAGTATGTTATGTCAAATAGCCAAAATTCGAAATTTGTTTATAATTATATCTGTTTGGGTGTTAAGTACAATTGAGCATAATGTAGACAAGATTTTCGTTGTTGGCAAAAATCGTTGGTGTAATACATTTTTATTTGTAATATTTGTTTTTACATTTTTGTTACTCAACTTGGCTACCACTCTTCCCATGATTATCCGTGACCAAGTGGTTCGGACGGTTAATTTAGGGTCATCTCTAACTGGTTAATGTTAAAATTAAACATTTCAATTTTTTCCGTGGTTTACGTGTTGTGTTGTTGAAT